GGACCAAAGTAAAGAGAACCGGAGTCTCTGGTAATCCAGATAATTCTTCTGGATCTTGTCCAAGACTATCAAGGCAGTATCTCTATGAGTCTGCAAGAATCATAGTGTTACTGGTCTTGGGGTCCTCTCTAAAGCAGGACCATATGGTGTTAGACCATAACACCCAAGTCCTTTTGAATATCTGGAAAGCCTTCCCAGGAAGAATGGGTATAAAGAGCCCGGACTGCAAAGACTATAATAAATACCTAACTCTTCAATGGCCAGACACAGATGAACACCTACAAGTATCCAGACAATCCAGGAAAACATGACTTCAATAAATAAACTAAATAAGGCACCAGAAACCAATCCTGGAGAAACAAGGATACGTGATCTTTCAGACAGAGAACTCAAAATAGCTGTTTTGAGAAAACCCAAAGAAATTCAAGCAGATGACTTTGACAAAGAGATTAAAATAATTAAAAAGAATCAGGCAGAAATTCTGGAGTTGAAAAATGCAGCTGGCATACTGAAGAAATCATCAGAGTCATTCAGTGGCAGAGTTGATCAAGCAAGAAAAAGAATCAGTGAGCTTGAAAACAGGCTATTTGAAAATACAGTCAGAGGAGACAAAAGAAGAAAGAAAGAAAGAAAAAAAAAACAAAAAACAATGAAGCATGCCTACAGGATCTAGAAAATAGCCTCAAAAGGGGGAGTCTAAGAGTTATTGGCTTTAAAGAGTATGTAGAGAAAGAGATATGGGTAGAAAGTTTATTCGAAGGGATAATAACAGAGAACTTTCTGAACCTAAAGAAAGATATCAGTATCCAAGTACAAGAAGGTTACAGAACACCAAGCAGATTTAATCCAAAGAAGACTAACTCAAGACATCTGGTAATTCAAGTTGCAAAGGTCAAGATGAAAAAAGGATCCAAAAAGCAGCAAGAGAAAAGAAACAAATAATGCAGCTCCAATACACCTAGTGGCAGCCTTTTCAGTGGAAACCTTATAGGCCAAGAGAGAATGGAATGACATATTTAAAGTGCTGAAAGGAAGAGAACTTTTATGTTAGAATAGTATATCTGGTGAAAATATCCTTCAAGCATGAAGAAAAAATAAAGACTTTCCTAGACAAACAAAAGCTGAAGGATTTAATCAACTCAGACTTGTCTTACAAGAAATGCTAAAGGGAGTACTTTAATAAGAAAGAAAAGGACATTAATGAGCAATAAATAATCACTCGAAGGTACAAAATTCACTAGTAATAGTAAGTATGCAGAAAAACTGAATATTATAGCACTGAATATGTAGTGTGTAAACTACTCTTATTTAAGTAGAAAGACTAAATGATTTACCAATCAAACATGGTAACTACAACAACTTTTCAAGACATATTACAATACGATATAAACAGTAACAAAAACTTAAAGCAGGGGCACAAAATTAATGCATGAAATCTTTGTAAATTTTCTTTCTGTTAGTTTGTTTATGCAAACAATGTTGTTATCAGCTTAAAATAATAGATTATAATATAGTATTTGCAAGCTTCATGATACCCTAAACCAAAAAACATACAATGGAGACACAAAAAATAAAAAGCAACAAACTAAATCACATCACCAACGAAAATAACCTCCACAAAAAGAAAGACATGAAGGAAAGAAAGAAGGACGAGAAGACCATAAAACATCTAGAAAACAAATCACAAAATGACAGAGGTAAGTCCTTACTTATCTATAAATTGAACGTAAATGGACAAAATTCTTCAATCAAAAGACATAGAATAGCTGTAGGGATAAAAAACCATGAGGCCAGGTATGGTGGCTCACGCCTGTAATCCCAGCACTTTGGGAGGCTGAGGTAGGCGTATCACTTGGTCAAGAGATCAAGACCATCCTGGCCAACATGGTGAAACCCCATCTCTACTAAAAATCCAAAAATTAGCCTGGCGTGGCAGAGTGGCGGTGTGTACCTGTAGTCTCAGCTACTCAGGAGGCTGAGGCAGGAAAATTGCTTGAACCCAGGAGGCAGAGGTTGCAGCGAGCCGAGATCATGCCACTGTACTCCAGCCTGGTGATAGTGAGACTCCATCTCAAAAAAAAACCAAAACCAAACCAAACCAAACCAAACCAAAAAAAGAAAAGAAAAGAAAAAAAAAACACAACCAAAAAACAGACCCAATGATCTGTTGCCCATAAAAAACAGACTTCACCTATAAAACACACATTGAAAATAAAGGGATTGGAAAAAGATATTCCAAGTCCATGGAAACCAAAAAAGAGCAGAAACAGCTATATTCATATCAGACAAAATACATTTCAAGAAAAAACCAAGAATAGATAAAGAAGGTCACTATATAATGATAAGGGGTTCAATTCAGCAAGAGGATATAACAATTTTAAATATATATGCACTGAATGCTGGAGCACCTAGATGTATAAAGAAAATATTATTAGAGTTAAAGAGAGAAATAGACCCCAATATAACAATATCTGGAGATTTCAACATCCCACTTTCAACACTGCATCAATGTTCTAGACAGAAAATCAACAAAGAAACATCAGACTTAATCTGCACTATAGACCAAATGGATCTAATAGATAGTTACAGAACATTTCCGTCAAAGACTGCAGAATACACATTCTTTTCCTCAGGATGTAGATTATTCTTAAGGACAGATCATATGTTAGGTCACAAAACAAGTCTTAAAACATTCAAAAAATGGTATTCATATCAAGCACATTCTCTGACCACAATGGAATAAAACTAGAAATCAATGACAATAGGAATTTTGAAAACTATACAAACACATGGAAAGTAAACAATATGCCCCTGAATGACCAGTGGGTAAATGAAGAAATTAAGATGGAAATTGAAAAATTTCTTGAAAAATATGATAATGGAAACACAATGTACCATTTTGTTGTATGGAATACAGCAAAAGCAGTACTAATAGGGAAGTTTATAGCTATAAGTGCCTACAGAAAATAAAAACTTCAAATAAACAACCTAATGATGCACCTTAAAGAGCTAGAAAAGCAAGAGCAAGCCAAACCCAAAATTAGTAGAAGAAAAGGAATAATAAAGATCAGAGCAGAAATAAATGAAATGGAAATGAAGAAGACAATACAAAAGATCAATGAATCAACAAGTTTTTTTAAAGATAAAGAAAATTGACAAACTTTTAGCTTGCCTAAGAAAAAAGAGAAGACCCAAATATATAAAATCATAGATGAAAAAGGAGACATTATAACTGATAATACAGAAATTCATATGATAATTTGTGGCTACTGTAAGCAACTCTATGGCAAAAAATTGAAAAGTCTAGAAGAAATGGGCAAATTCCTAGATGCATACAACCTACCAAGATTGAACCATGAAGAAATCCAAAATTTGAACAGACCAATAATAAGTAACATAATTGAAGTTGTAATTAAAAATCTCCCTGTAAATAAAAGCATAGGACCCAATGACTTCACTGCTGAATTCTGTTGAAAATTTAGAAAAGAACTAATAGCAATCCTACTGAAACAATTCTGAAAAAAATAGAGGAGGGGATACTTCTAAGCACATACTATGTAGCCAGTATTACCCTGATACCAAAACCAGACAAAGACACATCAAAAAAAGAAAACTACAGGCCAATATCTCTGATGAATCTTGATGCAAAAGGCCTCAACAAGGTGTTAGCAAACCAAATTCACTAATATGTTAAAAGAGATCATTCATCATGACCAAGTGGGATTTGTCTCTGGCTTGCAAGGATGGTCCAACATACACAAATCAATAAATGTGATAAATCATATCAATAGAATGATGGACAAAACCCATATGATCATGTCAGTGGATGTTGAAAAAGCATTTGATAAAATTCAATGTCCCTTCATGAAAAACCCTCAAAAAACTGCATGTAGAAGGAACATACATCAACATAATTAAAACCGTATGTGACAGACCCATAGCTAAAACCATACTGAATGGGGAAAACCTGAAAACCTCCCCTCTACCATCTGGAACATGACAAGGATGCCCACTTTCACCACTGTTATTCAACTTAGTACTAGAAGCCCTAGCTAGAGCAATCAGACAGATAGAGCAAGAGGAAGAAATAAAGGGCATCCAACTGGAAAGGAAGAAGTCAAATTATCCTTGTTTGTAGATGGTATGATCTTATATTTGGGAAAACCTAAAGACTCCACCAAAAAGCTATTTGAACTGATAAATTTTGTAAAGTCGCAGGATACAAAATCAACGTACAAAAATCAGTAGCATTGTTTATGCTAATAGTGAACAATCTGAAAAAGAAATCAAGAAAGTAATCCTAACTATAATAGGCACAAGTGAAATTAAATATGTAGCATATTAGCTTGTTCTCATGCAGCTAATAAAGTCATACCCCAGACTGGGTAAATTATAAAGGAAAAAAAGGTTTACTGGACTCACAGTTCCACAAGGCTGGGGAGGCCTAACAATCATGGCAGAAGGCAAAGAAGTAGCAAAGGCACGTCTGACATGGTGGCAGGCAAGAAAGCTTGTGCAGGGGAACTCCCATTTATAAAACTATCAGATCCCATGAAACTTACTCACTACCACGAGAATAGTATGGGGGAACTTCCCCCATCATACAATTATCTCCACCTGGCCCCACCCTTGACAAGTGGAGATTATTACAACTCAAGGTGAGATTTGCGTGGGGACACAGACAAACCATATCACCTAGGATTTAACCAAAGAAATGATCTCCACAGTGAAAACTATAAAACATTGAGAAAAGAGATTGAAGAGGACACCAAAAAAGAGAAAGATATTCCATGTTCACGGATGGGAAGAATCAATTTTGTTAAAATGTCTGTACCACCTAAAGCAATCTACATATTCATTGCAATCCCTTTCAAAATACTAATGACATTCTTCACAGAAAAAAACAAAAACAAAAACAAAAACAAAACAAAACAAAAAACTATCCTAAAATTTACATGGAACAACAAAAGACCCAGAATAGTCAAAGCTATCCTGAGCAAAAAGAACAAAACTGGAGAGAATCACATTACCTGACTTCAAATTGTACTACAGACTGGCAGAGGTGCTCCAGCCTCTGCTCAGTCCGCAGTCAGTGCCACAGTGCCTGGCCTCCCACACACCCTGCAGGTAGTGCCCGTGCCCTCAGCCCAGAGTGCACTGGTGCTGGCGCCAGCTCCCAGAAAGAGTGCGCCACACAGAGATGACAGCTGAGGAGATGAAGGAGACCTAGAGCTGGGAGCAATTGGTGCCTCTGCCCATGGAGGGAGTGGACATTAGCCCCAAACAGGAGGAAGGCATGCTGAAAGTCATCGAGAGAGGGCACAGGTACAGAGATGCCCATGATTGGGACCGAGTCTTTGTCCACTACACTGGCTGGCTGTTAGATGGCACAAACTTTGACCCCAGTCTGGATCACTCCTTTGACTTGGGAAAAGGGAGATCATCAAGGCTTGGGATATTGCTATAGCAGCCATGAAAGTGGGGGAGGTGTGCCATATCACCTGCAAACCAGAATATGCCTATGGTGCAGCAGGCAGTCCTCCAAAGGTCTCCCCATTGCCACGCTTGTGTTTGAGGTGGAGTTGTTTCAGTTTAAGGGAGAAGATCTGATGGAAGAGGAATATGGTGGAATCACCTAGAGAACACAGACTCGTGGTGAAGGCTATCCAGGCCCAGTGAGGGTGCTATCATGGAGGTTGCACTGGAAGGGTGCTACAAGGACCAGCCCTTTGAACATCAGGAGCTCCGCTTTGAGGCAGGCAAGGGGGAGAACCTGGATTTGCCTTATGGTCTGAGGAGGGCCATTCAGTGCATGTAGAAAGGAGAACATCCCATTGTGTACCTCAAACCCAGCTATGCTTTTGGCAGTGTTGGGAAGGAAAAGTTCCAAATCCCACAAAATGCCTAACTAATATGAATTACACCTCAAGAGTTTTGAAAAGACCAAGGAGTCTTGGTAGATGAATTCAGAAGAGAAGCTGGAACAGAGCACCACGGTGAAAGAGCGGGACACTGTGTACTTCAAGTAAGGCAAATACAAGCAACCTTTTCTATTGTCTAAGAAGATTGTGTCCTGGCTGAAATATGAGTCTAGCTTTTCCAGTGAGGAAGCATAGAAGGCAAAAGCCCTTCAACTGGCCTCTCACCTCAACCTAGCCATATGTCATCTGAAACTACAGGTCTTCTCTATTGCCACTGAAAGCTGTAACAAGGCCCTAGAACTGGACAGCAACAACGAGAAGGGCCTCTTCTGTTGGGGAGAGGACCACCTGGTTGTGAATGACTTTGAACTGGCATGGGCTGACTTCTGAAAGGTCCTGCAGCTCTACCCAAACAATGAAGCCACTAAGACCCAGTTGGCTGTGTGCCAGCAGCAGATCTGCAGGAAGCTTGCCTGGGAGAAGCAGCTCTATGCCAACATGTTTGAGAGGCTGGCTGAGGAAGAGAACAAGGTCAAGCCAGAGGCTTCCTCAGGAGACAATCCCACTGACACAGAGAAGAAGGAGGAGCAGAAGAGCAACACCACAGAGAGCCAATCTCAAGTGGAGACAGAAGCATAGCCCCTCTCCACCAGCTCTACTCCTGTGGCTGCCTGCCTCCCTGTCTCCCTACTCTGTCCTGTGAGTTTTGTAAAACCTGAGGAATTCTGAGCAAATTAGACCTTTACTTTTCTATCTGATTGGATGGTGGCTTTAGGGTGAAGGGGGAAAGGAGTAAGCTGGGAGACTGAGGTGGGGAATCATTTTAGGTGGTGTCACCCCCTCTTCCCTTCCCCCATTGCACATGAACATATGTCCATCCATACATGCTCATTAGAATGTTAATTTATTGTGATCCCTCTGTTTGTTAGTTCCATTTTCAAAGGGTAGAAGAGGCAAATGGTAGGGATGGGGTCTGACATGAACCCAGGGTGGAGAGGGAGACTCCTGGGCAGCCATTTTCCCCATCCTTTCCCTCTCCCAGTCCATTTCCCTCTCCCAGTCCATTTCCAAATGTGGCCTCCGTGTGGGTGCTAGGTACATGGGAAGAAACACCATTTCTTCTCTGTTCCCTTCCTCACTCCAAATGGCATGGCTGATGATGTCTTCTGGTGTCATGGTGACCACCCCCTGTCCCCTGTTCTGGTATTTCCCCTGTCAGTTTTCCCTCTCAGCAAGGTTGTGTCCCCAGACCCCTCAGCCTCTTCTTTGCATGTTGCTGAAGGTCCAGGCTTGCCTCAAGTTCCATGCTAGAGCAATAAAGTGGAAACATTAAAAACAAAACAAACAAACAAAAAAATTATACTACAGACCTATAGTAATCAAAACAGCATGATGTTGGCATTAAAACAGACACATAGATTAATGAAAGAGAATAGAGAACCCAGAAACAAATTCATACACCTACAGTAAACTCATTTTTGACAAAGGTGTCAAGAACATGCACTGGGGAAAAGACAATCTCTTCAATAAATGGTGCTGGAAAAACTGGATATCCATATGCAGAAGAATGACACTATATGCCTATCTCTCACCACATACAAAAATCAAATCAAAATGGATTTTTGAACTATGAAACTACTACAAGAAAACATTGGGGAACTCTCCAAGACATTGATCTGGGCAAAATTTCTTGAGTAATACCCCACAAGCACAGGCAACCAACCAAAAATAGACAAATGGGATCACATCAAGCTAAAAAGTTTCTGCACTGTGGAGAACAGTTTGGAGATTCCTCAAAAAGCTTAAAATAGAGCTTACCATATGATTCAGCAATCCTACTGCTAAGTATATACCCCAGAGAAAGAAAATCAGTATAACAAAGAGATATCTGGACTGCTGTGTTTGTGGCAGCACTATTCACAATAGCCAAGATTTGGAGGCAACCTAAGGGTCCATCAACAGATGAATGTTGAAGAGAACAATCAACAAAGTGAAGAGACAGCCCATAGAATGGGAGAAAATATTTGTAAACTCCCCATCTGACAAGGGATTAATAAGCAGAATGTTTAAGTAGCTCAAACAGCACTGAAGGAAAAAATATAATAATTTGATTAAAAAATGGGCTAAGGATATGAAAAGACATTTCTCAAAGGAAGGTATAGAAACAGCAAATAGGCATATGAAAAAGTGCTCAACATCACTGATCATCAGAGAAGTGCAAATCAAAACTACAGTGAGATATTATCTGACCTTAGTTAAAATGGCTTTTATCCAGAACAGTCAATAACAAATGCTTGTGAGGATTTGGAGAAAAGAGAACCCTCATACATTATTGGTGGGGATGTAAATTAGTACAACTACTGTGGAGAACAGTTTGGAGATTCCTCAAAAACTTAAAATAGAACTTGCCATATGATTCAGCAATCCTACAGCTAAGTATATACCCCAGAGAAAGAAAATCAGTATAACAAAGAGATGTCTGGACTGCTGTGTTTGTGGCAGCACTGTTCACAATAGCCAAGATTTGGAGGCAACCTAAGTGTCCATCAACAGATGAATGGATAAAGACAATGTGGGACTTATACGCAATGGCGTACTATTCAGCCATAAAAAAGATTGAGATTCAGTCATTTTTAACAACATGGATAGAGCTGGAGGTCATTAATTTTTGTGAAATAAGCCAGGCACAGAATGACAAACATTATATGTTCTCATTTAGTTGTGGTATGTAAAACTCAAAGCAATTGAACCCATGGAGATAAAGAGTAAAAAGATGGTTACCAGCTCCTGGGGAGAGCACTGGGCCCTTCTGTGGGGTGGTGGGGATGGTTAATGTGTACAAAAAATATTTAGAATTAATGAACAAGACCTAGTATTTGATAGTACAACAGGGTGACAATAGTCAATAATATTTGAATTATACATTTTAAAATTACTAAAAGAGCATAATTGGATTGTTTTTAACACAAATGCTTGAGGGGATGCAATTCCCATTTTCCATTATGTAATTATTACACATTGCATTCCTGTTTCAATACATCTCATGTATCCCATATACACCTACTATATACCCACAAAAATTAAGTAGGCCCTTGGGAAAAGCAGGTTTTCTTCTTTATCAGACCCATCCATACCGAGTCCAGGCCTAGAGAATGCTTTCTTTGCTCTGTTCCTTAATGGACCCCACCCTGAACTCAGTAATTTTAGCTAAGAAACAATAGCTAAGTTTAAAAGATCACCACCTATCAAACTGAAATACACCTTTCTGGAATTTAACTGGCTTCCCTGAAACCCTTTTGTAAAAGAAATTAACACCTATAAAGGAAATCTCCATTTGTAAGATGTCTGCCTATGTACATTAGAAACTCTTCCCATTGTTTTAAATTTGCATAAGTCATACTTCTGTTTAAGGTGCTTTTCTGGCCATCTTATCTAACTTAACTTTTATTTACACCATTTTCCCCTTGGTTTGAGCAAATGATACTGTATTTAGGCCTAAGGTTTTTCTTTTAATGATATCTACATATATCATATGTATATTATAAAATTAATATATATAATTTATAATAAATATATAATATACATATTATTAGATTACCACTTTATCTTGTACTTATTGGCTTTAATTTACAAGCATTTATCATCACAAATTATATTATACCAGTGTGTTTGATTTCTCTTCCTATTAAAGTGAAGTAAATTTGGTAAGCTTTCCTTATGTTCATAAATCATTTAAATGCATAGACAATTAAAAATGTGTTTAGTTTGTATATACACACAACAGAAAGTAAAATGCTTTCTTCCATATTAAATAATTAATGTAACATATATCAAATATTTCTTTGAAATTCAATAGACATTTAAAAAATATACAGTAGCATATGTACCCATTATATTTCAATTATATTTTAACATTCTTTGATGTTATTGAACAACTATTCCCTGTTACATATCTCTTTAGCATTGGTGCCTCTTAATGAAATATAAGAAACTAATAGGATATGTTGTACAAAAATTTAATGACTCATATTTATTATCCTTAATGTAGAAAGTCTTATTTATTTGTGCCTCAATTTATTTGCCAGTTGAGTAGGAATGCAGAAATAAAAGGTAAGTAATAAAGAAAAAGTCACTTCATGGAAAATGGAAAGGCCTAGAGATAGTTTGTAATTATGCAGCTTTCACAGTCAGAGGACACGTGTGAAAATGCAGACCACAAACATGCTTACAGCAGGTAAATACATAGTACAGAGTATTCCTTGGTGCATAGAATGAAAGCACATTTCTACTAATAAATTATGTATACTTAATATTGCATATTGTTATATAATATTAAAAATGTTTTAGGGTTCTTTAGAGAAACAGAACCAACAGAGAGAGAGAGAGAGAGAGAGAGAGAGAGAGAGAGAAAATGAGAGACAGACAGAGATTTCTTTCTTTTTTTTTTTTTGAGATGGAGTCTCGGTCTGTCGCCCAGACTGGAGTGCAGTGGTACAGTCTCGGCTCACTGCTAGCTCTGCCTCCTGGGTTCACACAATTCTCCTGCCTCAGCCTCCTGAGTAGCTGGGACTACAGGCGCCCACCACCACACCCGGCCAAATTTTTGTATTTTTAGTAGAGACAGGGTTTCTCCGTGTTAGCCAGGATGGTCTCGATCTCCTGACCTCGTGATCCGCCCACCTCAGCCTCCCAAAGTGCTGGGATTACAGGTGTGCGCCACCACACCTGGCCCAGACAGAGATTTATTCTGAGGAATTGGCTTGTGACTATAGAGACTTGGTGAGCCCCAAATTTGCAGGGCTGGAGACAACAGGGAAGAGTTGCAATCTGAGTCCAAGCACAATCTGCTGGGAGAATTTTCTCTTCTGGGGAGGTCAGTCTTTTTCTGTTAAGGCTTTTCAGTTTTTGGATGAGGCCAACCCACATTATGGAGGGTAATCTGCTTTACTCATAGACTACTGATTTAAATGCTATCACATCTAAAGAAATACCTGCACAGAAACATCTAGAATAATATTTGAACAAATATCTGAGTACCATGGCCTTACCAAACTGACACATAAGATTAACCATCACAAAGAGGATGAATACTTTTTAAATAAATGATTTCATTTTGTTCTTCGGTACCACGTGCAACAAAATAATTCTTTAAACTGTTTTGTCAACTGCATTCTCCTTACATCTAGTTTTTTGACATTATTTTGCTAGGTAAGAAGAGGAGAGAGAAGTGAGACTCTGTAAAACTAAAATTGGAACAGGAGTTCTGTGAGTGAGGGGTGGCCTGAACCACCCTTCTAAAACCATGAGTAAATGGTAGGACTTTGCGCAAAATTTGAGTGAGTGTCCCTGTGGTACATCTGTGCAGGCTACAGCCAAGATTTCTGGGTTTCCAAACTTAGTCAAGGTGCCCTTTTCCCAGCCTGACACACGTAGAAGCCACAGATCTGCTGGCCCTTCTGCAGTCACGCAGGCTTAGCCAATTTACAATTAAGAGGATGTAAATATGCAACATACGTAAATATGTTTTAGACTCAGTTTTCATCCAAGGCCCGAAGACAATAGCAATAATCCTAAATCCCAGAGTGAGATCCTGAACCACTTGTCTTCCAAAGGAGGTGGTAAAAATACCTTTGGTCATTCATCCACTTGAAGATTGTTGTATAATGGAGAATATGATTAGCGTTTGTCTCTAGTTCTTGAGAGGAAAAGTAGTTCATCTGAAATTTCCCAAATGGTAGGGTTCTTTGTCATTCATGGTGGTCCAGATAGCTTATGCTAGTGAGGTGATTCATGGTGGGGCCCTAGTATAGCTTATACTAATGAAATGATTTGGGATGGGGATAGGCCCCGTCAGAAAGACCAACCATTTGATTAGACTGTTGGAACTTTGGATCAAATGATATCACGAGTATCCTTGAATCCTCAGAAAGATGAGAAAGAAGAGAAGGGCTGGAAACGAAGCTCAATCATGTGCTCAGTGATTTAATCAATTATTCCTATAGTTCTGGTGCCCACTGTGGGGCGACTGGGACACTTGACTTGCTCCAGAGCCTGCAGATGAGATTCTGGAACAACTGATGAAAAGCCGGCAAAGAAAAATGGTAAACATTGTTTTCCAAGGACAGTCCTCCTGGATTTCTGCCTGTAGTGTCACCTGGTGGAGAATAGAAGGTAAAATTTTCTCATCTCCCTTTTCCAAAATTCAGATTAGCAGGAGAAAATCATCTGTACGAACTAGTTGCTGGGTATAGTGAATCTGGTGATTTTGTTTGGTATGAGTAGTCTGATTTTCTGATCCCTTCCCTTGCAGAGATGCTGCCTTGTTTTCTGTTGTCTTTGTCTTTCGTATTGTTTATCATAAACAGCAGAATCACAGGGCAAGGAGCA